TCTTCTTCTTCTTCTTCTTCTTCTTCTTCTTCTTCTTCTTCTTCTTCTTCTTCGCTTTTCCAGTAGTTGGATTTGCTTTTCTGCTCATTCGGCAATAAAACACCATTGTCTCTTGCCTTTCCGCTTGCTTGTTGGTTTGGTTCCAGGCATAGTTTCTGTGCCTTGTTCCCATCTGCTGTTAGGTCTCCCACTTTCTCTCGTGCCTTCAAACTTTGGTTTCAAAATGCTTCCTCACTGGGTTTTGATATGCTTAAAGTAATTTAGTATCATTTCATTAAAATTTTTAGGTGTGTCTGTGTTTAGATTTACGTATTCTTTTTAGCACTGCCTCATTCTTTATTTTTGGTCTCCAGGGTAATCTTAGAGTTCTTTTATAACATGTGAAATTTCTCTAAAGCTGTAATTTGATTTCCTTATCTTGCCCATTGTTGGTCCATGCTCCGCATCCATATATTAGAAGTGAGGGGATGGGGTATAATTGGGGTTGTGTGTGGGGGGAAGGGGGGATATGGTATTTTAAAGACATTTTATTTTTCTATTTTTACGAAATTGTCCATTCCAGATGGATGTCATTTTTTTCAATTTTGATTTTGTGATTGCAAGTCTCTATTTAATCTCCGCGAGGTCCTTGAATGTGAAAATATTTTTTGAAAACCATATAAAACATTAATGTAAAGTGTCACATCCCCTTTTGGTTTACAAGACATACGGAAACGACAAAATTACTTTACGAAAGGTTCGATACTACAGTCTCCACCACAGACACGTTTTATCACACGACACTTTTATATTATTATCTAGGGTAAAAGTCTAGTTGAAACCTCCATTTTTAAAAGTGTCTGTCACATTATGGGGTCATGGCTACCTCTACGTCGGCCCCACAGGGAGTGGAGACCCTGAATGAGCGTAGTAGGTCAAGGGCGTTCAGAATGCAGGTCACCTTAACTATTGTGCGGTCAAAAACTCGAGGCACAACTTATCCTCAAATATCTTTATAACGGGAGAATCAATGTCACCCATACTTTGCACATCAGTTTGTCTCAATTTGTCTTAACTTAATCATATTTTTCAACAACAATTGAGGCTAGATTTAATAAAAAACTTTTCTTCTTGAATTTATATAAAATACTAGAAACCTCCTTCACGCGGATAATAGAATTGTTCACAGCTCTTCCCGCTCCTCACACACATATTTTATAGTGAACACTTTTTTTGCACTAAAAGTTCTCAAAACATTCGTTCAATAAAGATAATCTCGCGATAAGAAAGAATGACAGACTTGCTTTTAAAAGTGATATTGTCCCAGCTGTAAACCTTTTAAAATAGTAGAAAGCACCCACTAAGATTTTTTATTAGTAGGCCTATTTATTAAGGAACTTTCTAAAACAGAGCTAACAGGTCTTTACAAAAATATTGATCCTTTAAGACAAATTGATACAAGTCACAGTACAAAAGCTGGAGAGTTTATGTTCGATACGGTAGTTGAAGAGATATTTGACAATAAGTAGCCACGCATTTTTGACCACACTATAGACCTTTGAGTTATCGTTTTCCTGATGGAGAGGCCAGGGATGAAATGTTAGATAATTTTGAATACATAGGCCCTAATATTTCAAACTGGTACTTTAAAATTTCACACACATGTATCTGGTTTTATTTCTTTTATTATATATTTTTTAAATTTCATTTTTAACTGCTCTAAAACGACAAAAAATGAGTTGAACTACTTATATATAGTATATCCCCACAACAGTTCAACAATTGAATAATCGTCAGAGAATCTGTATATTTTTTTTCTTTTTCTAGTTTCTCAGCTTCTACTATTTCCTTCTTGTAATCTTTCTAATCTCTCTTTTTGTCCTGTCTTTACCTTTTTTTCGTCACTTTTATTTCTTATAGATCTAGGCCTATTATTTTTTCTCTTCTTTTTTTTTTTCTTTCTTTTTTTTTGTTTGTGTGTTTTTTGTTTTAGTTTTTTTGTGTTTATTTTTTTTTAAAAATTTTTTGTTTGTCTTTTTTTTTTTCATTTTCTTTTATCCTTTTTTCTGAATTACGTTTGGGTGTAGGTGTGTTTTTCCTCCCCCTTTCTTACTTTTTCGTGTATTTTTAAAAAATCATTTTTATATATAGTGTATATATTTTTGTTATTTTTTTGTGGGGGAGGGGTCAACTGATAAAACAATGATTTATTGTGCCCACACCCCTTTCTGTCTTTCACGTGCAGACATCAACGAGTGTAACACGGGGCGACTGTGTGAGCAGGTCTGCATCAACCTCCCCGGCTCCTTCCGTTGTGACTGCGAGCCAGGGTACTCCAAGTCAGGCAAACACTGCGACGCATGTCCCAAGGGAACTTACCGAGGAAAAAAGGACTCCGTTTTGTCCTGCCAGAGTTGTCCCTCTGGAATGACGACCAACGAGGAAGCCACGAAGTCGTTGCTGGATTGTTTCTGTGACCCTGGTTACCAAGGTAACCCAGAGACGAGAGACAAGTGCAGGTGAGGTCTATAATAATGGTGTATGAATAATTGTTACTACCTACTTCTATTAGTTCATGTTATAAAGGCTTAGATTTTAAACTTTCTTTCTATGTAATGTATGTGTAAAACTGTAGAGTGATTAAGTGGTAAAAGAAGGAAGGAGAATAAAAGGGGAAGGGGAGGTGGAGAGGCAGAGAGAGAGAGAGAGAGAGAGAGAGAGAGAGAGAGAGAGAGAGAGAGAGGGGGGAGAAGGGGGAGATGTAGGGAAGGAAAGGTTCGCCACTGGAAATTTGATATTTTTAAAAATAATTGTAAAGTGTGTGGTTGGCGGGTACTCTGATGTGGTTTGCTTCTTTTTTCCAATCAAACATCTATCGTCCTTATCTCCCCTTCTTCTTTTTCATGTTTGTTACTCTCTTGTAACGCCTCTAATCTTCTGGCGCTCATATGACCTTATGCAGTTGCGAGTGCCGTAAAACCTCTGCTAAAACTTAAAAAAACAACTAATAATTGTAAAGCGTATTGAGCATATTTCTGGAAGAAATGCGTTATATTATATAACATTTGTAATCTATCGTTCCTACCTCTCATCCTAATTTTCTCTGCATGTTACTCTCTAATAACACCTCTAACCTTCGGGATATAAGACTAATTTGTGTTGCAAGTACTTGTGCCATAAAACTTTTATTAAAATTAAGAACTTCTTCTTTTTCTTTCACCCATCCATGTCTGTTCGTCCCCACCACCAGAGACGTGAACGAATGCGCCAGGAACAACGGTGGGTGTGAGCACATCTGTGTGAACAAAGAGGGCTCCTTCCACTGCGCGTGCAGAGAGGGGCACGTGCTGGATCCCGACGGGCGCACGTGTGTGCCCACTCACTGTCCATTGATCAAGGCACCCAGATTCTCACGCTTTACCACCAGAGAGTGTAATCTCATGAATAAGGTAAGTCCCCCCCCCCCAAAAAAAAACAAAAAAACAAAACAAACAAAGATTAATTAAAAATTGACAAAAATAATTCAGCAACAACGACAACAACAACTACAACAACATCAACAGTAACAACAACAACAACAATAGTAATACTTGTAATAATAATAATAATAATAATAATAATAATAATAATAATAATAATAATAATAATAATAATAATAGGCCTAGTAACAAAAACGATAGTAACAATAAAAAAAGAGCAATAGCAAAACATCCACAACAAGAACAACTACCTAACATGAAAGCAAAACAAAAAAACAAAACAAAATTACGGCAATAAAAGCTACAAAAGCAACAGCAACAGCAACAAAAACAACAGTGATGATGGTAATGATGTTGTTGCTATTGTTATTAGATTTGTTGCTGTTGTTATTGTTATTGTCATTGTTGTTGTTGTTGCTGCTTTTGTTGTTGATATTGTTGTTGTTGCTGTTGTTGTTTTTTGTAAGGTGAGCATGTTATGGGGGGCAATAGAATTAATTGTCTTCATTGCACTAATCCGCGACCATGAGAATATTGCTGTTGTTGATTTTGTGTTTGTAGGGTTGTTGTTGTTGTTGTTGTTGTTGTTGTTGTTGTTGTTGTTGTTGTTGTTGCTCGGTGATGCTGGTGCAGTTTCTAGCTGTGATGTGCGCATAATTGATTGTCTCATTGCACCTTCTGTCCGTGACAACGAGAATGGGGAAAGGGGGGGGGGGGGTGTTCGTATAGTTATTTTTTTTCGTGTTGTTGATAATTTAATTTATGTTGATCTCGGTGACTGCGATTGTAGCGGTGGCAGGCCCTACAGTCTGGTGGTTGTGGTGGTGGTTATTGTTTGGTGAAGGTGATGGAGCTGTTTGTTGCGGTGTGCCAGCATAAGATTGATTTAACATTCGTCTGGATAAGCTGTAAGGTAAAAGGTTATAGATCTATATCGGAAGCATAGATTTATATTACTAGATCTAGGTTTAAAAAGGAAATAACTCTATGATCGGTAGCAGGTAGAAACATCTGGACATTAAATTGCGGTTTTTGATAGCTGCAAACTTTAGGTAGCATTCCGAGACATTCAGTTGGAGAAACTGTTGTGCGCTGAAACTAGAAACGTAACCAGTGGATTATAATTATATAACAATAACAATATTATGTTTAAAAACTCCTGCAGCAGCAATTTGTTAGATCGATAGATGGGCAGCTTTTTTTCACGATTACCTCCCTTGCAACAAATGCTTGTAGAAGGAAAAAGTCCGCAACGGTCCCAGGTCCCAAGACACTCAGGTTTAGATCTATTTGACAGTGTCTTTTTGGCATTATGTAGACGGTGCTTTTTCTTTTTGGTCTTCAGCTAATTCTAACCCACAATATAATACAGATATAACGCTGGCACCCATTTCTATCGTTTATATTCTGTTTCCAAATAATGAATTTATAATAATGAATAACATTTTAATGAATTCCTGATTAAAAGTGGTTTTCTGTCCAAGTGTACGTAAAATAATACTAGCTGTCTGCATGTTAGTACCCTCATATGAGGAGAGGGAGGAATTGAGAGAGAGAGAGAGAGAGAGAGAGAGAGAGAGAGAGAGAGAGAGAGAGAGGAGTGCTACTGGAACTATGATAACCTAGAATCTATATTCCTATATACAATAAACGACATTTAGAAGGCAGTAGCAGTAGCCTAGCTTTACTTATGTCACCCCAGCAGTGGGTAAACCTAACTAAGCCAGATCTGTATTTATACGGAAGTAGGCCTACTGTTGATTCTAGTTGGTGACTATGAAGGATGGTTTTAATCACCCCATCTCGGGCTGACTTAGAACACCACCTAAAAGTTCCCCTCATATTTAAAAAAAAAAATGGTATCCTTGAGTCCTCACTGGAGACAGGGTCTTTTTCGGGTCTACACAAACTAAAAACCTCCGAGCGACTTGTACTTGTAGTCTTTCTAAATTATTCTTCGGCAGTCCGTGCCGTAGAAAATCGCAACAAAAGATGTATCTGATCTTGATCCATCAGCTATCAAGTCGTCTCTAATATTTTAGGTAAAACCAAGCCGATGGTACAGCAAATACAAATATATTATTCTTGAAAATAAGACTCCCTTATTATAAGCCTACCTTTGAGAGCAACCGTCCTGATCAAGTTGTTGGCCAACGCCACTCAAAATCTAGATCGCTTGAATCTTCCGCCGAGTCTTGATAACGTTCCAAAACGAGGCGCACTGAAAATCAGCAGCCCGGTTAGCTCAGTCGGTAGAGCATCAGACTTTTAATCTGAGGGTCAAGGGTTCGAGTCCCTTATTGGGCGCTGCTAAATTTTTTTTCCGTTTTTTATTTACATTTGATCTAAATACTAGTTTACTGTTCTATTCTTGGTCCATCATTTTCAATTATTTCATTTTATTTTATTTTATTAAATTTTATTTATTTATTTATTGATATTTTGTGTTTCTATTTTTGTTTTTTAAATAATTTGTTATTGATTTATTTTAATTTAATTTTATTTAATTTAATTTTATTTGTTTGTTTGTTTGTTTGTTGATGTTTTTTTGTTTTGTTTTTTGTTTTGGGGGGGGTTTTGGGGGGGGGGGGGGGCTCTTTTTAGCAATGTGTTAAAATTTGATAAGTTGACACTCATAATACATCGCCTATTATGCGAGCAGAGAGCTTTCTCGCACTTTTAGGAGTTTTTGTTACAACAGCTGTCAAGGCTGTCCAAAAAATATCCCCATTGAGCCCAGCATGAATACAATTGTTACAGTATGCGGTGATTTACCTTTTATTATAGAACTCGTGTTTTCAACAACTGTAGCCTGACATACATATCGGTCTACTTAATGTGTTCCTATGTTACTATGCTGGAGGTTATAAATTATAGAACATTCGAAGGTGCCATTGGTTCTTATCATAGCGAACTGTAGGCCTCGTCGTATTTAAGCTTACTATGGTTCCTTTTAGTGGTGTGCTTGCCAGTCTGGGTGGTATCCGTAGTATCTCCAAGGAGGTTACAGTAAGGTCCTTGGGTATCACCCATCAGAGGGCGGTTTGGTAATTTTGGTGGTAGCAGGAGGGACATCCAGATAGAGATAGGTGTTATTTAACCCTATCCTTACGTTGTGTTTTTCTATCGTATCCATATGACGTGGGGAACTCTGTGCCACCACTTAACCCTATCTGTACGTCGTGTTTTACTATCTTATCCTTACGACGTGGGAAACTCTGTGCCACCACTTTCAAAAGAGGATATTTACTCGTTAATCCGATCCGTAGCCTACACTTTGCATAGCAGTCTGTCAAAATGATTTTTTGAGAAATACTTAAAGTTTCAAAGAGATCTTTGTATTAGAAGTATTCTAAAATGTGAAAAGTACAACCCCAGGGGTAGAAAATTACCCCAGGGTGTATGGATAGGGTAAATGCCCCGCATAAAAATAGGCCTACCTTTTATAGGTGGGAGGTACAAACATTTTATTATTGTTTTAGCTTCTTGAATGTGGCAAAAGTGTGTGCTGGCTATGAAAGGATTGGCAAGTACAAGTAAAGGATACTGTTCCATAGTCTAACTGTTCGCCATCTATGTGAGTAGTATCTTTTTTTTCCTTTTTTTTCTTTGTCTGTTTTTTTCTTTCCACTCAGCTTAGAGACAGAGCGATGTGTTTCTAAAGTTAAGCTCCCCCCC